CTGAGCAAACTCAGGGAGGCAGTGAAGGACAGGAAGGCCTGGCGCAATATGGTTCATGGGGTCACAAAGAGTCGGACACGACTTAACGACTGAACAACAACAACAATTATCAAAATTCTAGAACAGACGTGACACAACTTTCTGTCCAACAGATAAACATTAATAGTAGATAGCTAGTGGAGGTGTGAAACCGAAGACTCATAAATCTTACTTTTTGCATCTGCTGATCAGATTTTGCCATCTCTGCAAAATAATCATCAGGCCGCCTTGTAGGGATTTTAAGCCGATGTAACCGAGGTAATACTTCCAGAACTGAGGCTTGGGCTTGATGATAACTGGGGAAATCAGAACCAACATTACATTATTACTACTTCTAGTTTATTTATTAAATTTGTCCCCACCCATCTCCTCCCAATGGGGGACTCTGGGCGGCTCACAACTAATTAAAAACAATAAATAAGTATACAATTAAAAGCCTACATATACAACATTTAGTTGGTGGCTAAATGTTCCAAAAATTTTAGGATTTGCGATCTGCCATTAAACATACACTTCACCAAAATCAAAAACATCTAGTCTAGCTGCCCTTTCAACCTGAAATCATTACTGCCATGAAGACACTCAAAAAGTCTTTCTTATAAGTATTGTCAAAACAACTGCAGCTATACAAATAGTATTAATATGCCAATAAGTTGCTACATGTCTGCATGGGAAATAGAAGAACTGATATTAACATAGCAACATATAGCTTATACATAGTGCAGCAGACCAGCTAATGCACAACATTAAACTATGATGTCTTTTCTTTGTGTGATATAATGATCCATCATTATGGATTAGTGTTCTATGTAGACCTGGCTTAGCATTTCATGCAAACTCAGACAGCATCATCTAATGTGCATGAGAATGAAACAAAGGCCGCATATAAGACTCATAGCATAAGAGAAATCTCTGCCTCATATACAAATACTTACAAGTTCATTTCTCTTTTAAAGTCATCTTCAGGGTCAATAGCATCCTTTTCAACTGTGTTCTTAGAAGCTGCACTTGTGACATTTGTTTCCAGGGGAGAGGTAACATCAAGCCTTTCAACCCAGGCCAGGTTTCTTCGGAATTCTGACAAGCACTGTTTCAATCCATCCTAGGAAGACCGTATTAATTCTACATAATCTCAATGATTGGACATTTCTCCATACCAATTAATATGTTATCCAAACTACCATTCAGAATGGTTGCAGCTGATGCTCATTTTAAAGCAAGCAACTAAATTTTGCACTAACACACTAATCTCTCTCAAAAAGCCAGATTCCAGCCACATGCCTGTCAGACAATATGTGCAACATTTAAACATTCTATCCAAATGAATGTCAGGTATTCTGGGCTCATGATCTTCCTAACAAAGATCTACATGGAAAAGTTAGGGCTTTGTTTTACATTTTATATTGGCAACATAAACCAAAGCTGCTCCATACTTCTCTCATCACATTATTGTATTTTCATAATATGTTAATCCAAAAACATTGTACCTTTATAAATGGAGACATGCTTTACTTGCCAACACTTCAAACATTTTGTTCAAAATCCAAGGGACTGAAGCCTGTAACTGATCAGTGACACCTAATCTAAAAGGTTGGACCCACCAAGCTGTCAGATAACTAGACCAAAGCCTTGAGTGACTGGTGTTGAATTTAAAATTCCAATTCAGTTATTAAAAGGCTGATGTTTAGAAACTTTATGCTAGGTAAATGTTACGTTTTTCTAAAACAACAAAAGAAGGCTATCACAGCACTTACCACATTATTAAAGGCTTTTGGTCGTCCCTCCAACACAACATTCAGGCCTGGTTTCAACGAACCTTTAGCAAATGCTTCCTGAAGCTATATTGAAAAAAGGTAATATTTATATATGTTAATTTTGTGAAGTGTTAACATAAATTTCAAACAGGTCACTCAACTGATCCCACTGATAATAGAAGGGAGCATGTGGCAATCAAAACACACAGATGAGCACACAAGAGAGAATAGTCTGTTCAATGATTTCCAAGCTACAACTATTTATCCTGATGCTGCATGTGCACTTCTGGTTCAGATTAGATGTATCGCACTATGCAACTCTAAATTAGTGTGCCACCATAACTAACCCTGTTATTAGTCCAGTTAATATGCAACTTAAAAGAAGTCACTAATCAGGCTCAGCCCCTTATCTATTAGAGATAACACTACTTACAGAATGTTTTTAATCATTACTAAGATAATACAGCCTCAGCAGGTGACAGCAATTGGCCAACCTTTTCTGGCCTCAGAGCCTAAAAAGGGTAAGATCATTGGGAGACCATCAAGGAATTCTAGGGTTGCAGGTATATTCCTGCAGAAAGACAGTGGCAAACTACTTCTATACCAGTTCATGGTTGATTTTATGTAGTCATCAAGAGTTAAGCGCCACTCAAGAATATCTTTATCTTAATACAGTACAGCAAAACATGATGATACAAAATGAAAACATATGCATAGTTATATCATGATACAAATATCATCTTTATGTACTTGCATCCCAATGTCTGATACAAATAAACAACTATTTGGAGTCAGGCAGCCAATAAATTTAAATGACAATAACATCATTACACATATTTTGTCAACTGCCTCCCTTGCAGATATCCTTTCCTTTATGATACTATAAACAAAGTACTTTGAATATTTGAAATGTCTTGTATAAATATTAAATATTATTTTAACTATTTAAATAGGTACATATCTCTGATTACAGTGCAGTTACAAGTAATCTAAAAGAGATATAAATCTTAAGAACAATTACTGAAGCTTTGTATAATTACCCTAGACAAAGCAGCAGTGCTCCATATCAACCTATGCA